TTAAAGTATTACTCATTTATATCCATTTGTTACTACTAGTTAATAGTTAATGTAATCACTATCCCAACAACTCCTTTTGTTTCTAATTTATTGATTTCCATTAAATTTTCATATTTCCAGCAACTCATAGTTACACTTGACGTTCTTGTTGGTTTAATTTAAAAATCATGGATAAGGTCCCAGCGAATAAAATATTTGAACGGAAAGATTAAGTTTTGAAGATTATGAAAGATTTTAAAATGTTCAATTGTAGTTTAAGTGATCTTCAAAAATATAATTTGATAATTATTGAAACTTGATTGTAAATATGCAATGCAACTTTAAACTAGATTTTGATTTAGTGAGTGGCTTAATTACATTTATTTAATAAGCATTTCAATTACAATAATTAAATTTTATCAATATTTAAAAATTATCAGGATATACTTTCAAGCCAGGATTCAAAGATATAGTGAGGGAGGCTTGGAGTGCAGCAAATTGGAACGACTGTGTGGAATCCTTTACTAGAAATATTACATGGTGGAATAATGACAGGGTGAAAAATATTATCAGTAAGAAAAAAGAACTTATTCGAAGGATTGAAGGGATAGATAGAGCTAGAAGTATGAGAGACAACCGGTATCTTATCAGCTAGAAAGGGAGCTGTGGAATGAATACAATAAAGTTTATAATTAAGAGGAGTTGTTATGATACCAGAAGTCAAGATGTAATTGGTTAAAGTAGGGCATAGAAACATCAAATTCTTTCATGCATCTACTATTATACGAAGAAAGAAGAATCGCATTGATGCTTTAAGAAATGAGGATGGAGTTTGGGTTCAAGAGACTGAGCTGTTGAAGGATATGGCTAATCAATTCTATAAGAAGCTCTTTACTAGTGAATCTGATTCTAGAAGCAAGCTACTAATGAATAAAAATTTTCCCCAACTATCAGATGAAGATTTGAATATGCTTCATAAAGATGTGCAGGATAGCCAACTCAAAGGAGCTTTATTTGAAATAGGGGCTTTTAAGGCACCAAGCCCAAATAGAATTCAAGCCTTTTTCTATCAAGGCTAATAGGAGAGGGAACGTTAGGGATGCTATCTATGAATTGGTGAAAGATATTTTTGTGAGCCTCGAACTGGTGAAAGATTTGGATAAAATTCATATTGTGCTTATTCCAAAAGGTAAGAACCCGAAGACTTTGAGAGATTTCAGACCAATCTCTTTATGCAATGTGAGCTATAAAATTGTTTTGAAAGTTATTGCCAATAGATTGAAACCCATTACAAACAAGGAGGCTGGACAACAACTGTGTAGCTTCATATCAGGTCAGCAAAGCAGTGATAATATTATTATTGTGCAAGAAGTGTTTCATTCCATGAAAAATATGAGACATAAGAAAGGATATATGGTGGTCAAAGTGGATCTAGAAAAAGCTTATGATAGGATAGAGTGGGTCTTTGTTAGAGACATACTATTAAATTTAGGAGATAATGTTATGCAAGGTTATCCTTTATCCTTTCCTGCATCAGTTCACCATGTTTCTAAGTTCTTTGGAACAGAGAGCTTATGGATTCCTTTAGATCTTCTCATGGTCTGCCTCAAGGAGATCCTATGTCACCATATTTGTTTACTCAATATATGGAATGTCTGAATTACTTGATCTCAGATGCGATTGAGAATGGAGACTGGAAGCCAATCCAGCTTAAAAAAAGGGTTCAGCTCTGTCTCATTTGTTTATTACTGATGACTTGGTTTTATTCACAAAAGCGCCCACTGATCAAATTGATATGATTAATCAATGTATGGAAGCATTTTGCCAACACTCGAGGTCAAAAGATGAATTATTAGAAAATTAACATGTGTTGTTCCAGGAATGTTCACTTCAATAAGGCACTCTATTTAAGCCAGAAACTACATGTTAGATTAATTGGTGACTTGGGCAAATACTTAGGAATACCCCTTATACATAAGAGAGCATCTTTTTGCACTTTTTCTTCTATTCGTGAGAAGGTGAGGAATAGAATGTTGGGCTGGAAATGTAACTTCCTAAATTTAACTAGGAGATCTGTGCTCATAAAATTTATCATTATAGTATTGCTGAGTTATTACAAGCAGACAATGATATTGCCAAAGAAACTTTTGTTTGAAATGGAGAAAATTTGTAGAAGTTTCCTATAGAGCTCCAATGATGAAAAATAAAAACTATATCTCTTGTCGTGGAATGTTGTCACAAGGGATAAGAAGAGTGGCTAGCTAGGGATTAAGGATTTGGAGAAACAAAACAAATCTTTTATCTTTAAGTTTTGTTGGAAATACTGAGTAATGATGACTCCTTATTGGTGAAAGTGCTAAGAGGCAAGTACAAATGTGATAATGAGAGGGTGCCAAAGGTGGAAAAGAAGCAAAATGCTTCTCTGACTTGAAGAAGTATTATAAAGTGTTGGAATAAGTTTTATGAAGGAATTGGTAGAAGAGTAAGAAATGGCCAATCCACTAATTTTTGGTCAAACAATTAGGCCTATTACAACATTCCTTTAGCAAAATGTGCCCTGAGAACCTCTTTTAATGCTAATGATAGAGTTGTCAATTTTATTGATATGTGAGGAAGGTGGGACATTAGTAAATTAGAGAGATGGTTGCCTAGCCGTGTTGCTTAATAGATTGCTTGCACTCCAATTTTGAGAGTTGAGAGAGGCGAGGATAGCTTTATTTGGAGACCATCTACTGATGGCTTTTTTAAATGTTCATGCTACCTATAATTTTCTTCTTAAATACTAATAGCGAGGAAGATGCGATGTGGAACAAAGTTTGGTGATGGCAAGGACCAAAAAAGGTTAAAGTTCTATTTTGGTTGTTTGTAAATAATAGAGTCTATACAGTGGAGCTTAGAGCAAAATGGGGATTGGGAGTGTCAAACCTGTGTCCCCTTGGATGCGGTAGATTGGAAGATGAAATGCACTTATTCAAAGATTGTCCACATGCAGAGGGGTGCAAGAAGGGGCTAGTTAAACCTAAACTTTAGAACCAGTTCAAACAACTAACCAAGAAGGAATGGATTCTTTAGAACTTCAATAAAACTGTAGATAAACACTTCACAAACCAAGTCCCTTGGAGTATGCTTTTTGGATATGTTTGTTGGGATATTTGGAGTGAGAGATGTAGAAAAGCATTTTCAAGTGAAGATTGTGAGAGTTTGTTCAAGTATAGCATGCTTACAGAGGGTGAAATATGATTTAGAGCTGACCAATTTTTCACATACTCTTGGGATGCAAATGGGTGTGCCTTGAGATTGTTGGTCTAGACTAGAAATGGGGACTGTTAGATTAGATGTCGATGGCTCTGTAAGGAATGGAGTTGGTAAATGTGGAGGTGTAGTTAGAGACTGTGATGCTAATTGGATATATGGTTTCAACATTTGTGTTGGTCATTATTCTGTAGCTGTGACAAAATTACTAGCAAATGTTCATGGTCTTCTTTTATGTTGGGAGAAAGATATGAGGAATATCAACATCTTCACTGACTGTGCTAAGGCATTGAATCTACTGTTTCATTGCAACAATGATCATCATCCATTTTTTGATACTATTTCCCAAGCTCATATGCTTCTGTGTAAGGAGTGGAATATTTCTTTTAACCTTATGTATAGGGAAGCTAACTAATGTGCTTATTTTTTGACTAAGTTTGCTTGTGATAAAATAGGTGAATTCTATATTTTTGATCAACCACCACCTTTTTATGTAAAGGTGGTTGATAATGATAACTTTGTTCTATTCCTCCTTATAATTCAAAAAAAATCAAAATAATTCTCATGATCAGATTACGTATGTCATCGTTCAAAAAAAGATTTACTAATTTTTAAATATTATATATTGTATAATTTCTAACAACTATTCAATTATATTAAACAATTATTATTGTATCATGCGAGACATTTATTAAATGAGTATATTTAATTTACTCACTATTTCCAAATCTCTTTAAATTTTGGTCATTCCTTCCAAATATTTCACTCATTCACCTTTTTCACAATTTCTCACTTCTTATTATTCATCCATGATCAAGTGGATTCATTTCTCACCAATTTTATTTTTCCCCTTTCATTTCCAACGGACTATTTATTCCTTAAAGACCTGGCCATACAAAAATCTTGGTTTGAATTTTAATTTTGAATGTATTCAAAATTATCATTTTTTTCCCTTTTCAACTCATACTCTTTAAGATTATAATTTATTATAAATTATTCTTATAACGTACTTCCTCTTTTAAAAAATGTAAGTCATTTTATCTAAATTTCACCCCTGATAAAATAGTTACTTACTTTTAAATTAATCCTATCTTTTTATATTTACCTCTATCAAACATTGTATAATAAATATAAAGTCATTATTAATAGAGGTACTTTTGAAAAAAAAAAGACAATGATTACACCTCAAAAGATTAAAAATGCCTTACATTTTTAAACATCCAACTCCTCAAAAAATGTCTTATATTTTTAAACGGAGAGAGTATAAGAAATTAAATTGAGTTTGAAATCATTAATATTTCTAAAAATATAGTTTTCAGGATCTTCTAAAATAATTAGTAGCTTATATAACTTTTAAATCAACCTTTTTTCACTGTATTAGTTGTTCAAATCAACATATAGTTATATATATTTATTAAAATCTCTGTAAAAATTTTAACTGAAGCTTAATTTATTCAGAAGTATAATTCAGGAGAGAATTTGTAATTTAAATAAATATTTTTATGAATAGCTGTATATACACATGCTGGAATTATACTTGGGAGAATTACAATCAGATTCTAAATAAAGAAATAAATTATTTCTTCAGTCTCATTTATAATTTAAACTTTAATATTTACAAAGTAATTAAAAAATATGAGTAATGAGTAATTAAATTTTTTTTTATTTACATGCGCATGTAATTCTCCTCCCATCATAAATTCCACGACATTCTCTCCGGCAGTTACAAGCGCCGCGGGACGAACGGAGATGTGATAAACTCAAAGAAAATCAGAAAAATAAAAGAAAAATCTGAGCCTTAAAAAGACCGAAACTTTCGGATGACACATCACGCAGTCACTCTAATAATAAGAAGGGAGACCCCAAAAAAAAAAAAAAAACAAGAAGAAGATCGAGACGTTCACCAACGGAGATGCGTTGCTATGCCGTGGCTATTCCCGGAAGCGATTATCGCTTCTTCGCCTCGACACCCTTATCTGTCCCCGCCAACAACACTTTCAATCCCAAATCTCTCAATTTCCCCTCTCAAATCGGCGGTTTCGTCCCTCTCAGAGTTAAAGCCGCCGTCAACGACGGCTATGTGGCCGAGGCCTCCAAGTTAAGCTTTTACGAGCTTCTGGGCATCCCTGAGTCTGGGTCCTTGCTCGAGATCAAGCAGGCTTACAAGCAGTTAGCGCGAAAGTACCACCCTGATGTGTCACCGCCGGATCGGGTCGAGGAGTATACGAGGAGATTCATTCAGGTGCAGGAGGCCTATGAGACCTTGTCTGATCCTAGAAGGAGAGCTTTGTATGACAGAGACATGTCAAGAGGGATTCACTTGGCCTTCTCCGCTCGCCGGCACTACTACGACGATGAGGTATTAAATTCTTCCTTTTCTGGGCTGTATTATTTTTGTCTTTCTCTCTTTTGCCCCTTTTGAATTTCTTGTCGTCACGGCTCGTTGGCCGTCCTAAGATTTCAGGTTGATTTTTATTTTACGTTTGCTATGGGAGTTTGTCTGATTGTAACTGTTGGTCTAGGTGCTAATAATTGTTCTCTGAGAGGACAGGTCATATGGCTCTGTTCACGCCCTTCGTCCATTGAAATTGTTTGCAGATTTTCCCTGTATCTTTAATTTATGCTGCATAAATCTCTGTTTGTTTTCCTGAGTTTTATTTCACTGGAGAGAGTTTGAGACGTTGCGCATCTATAGCCTAGGTTAGAGAAGACTTAGCCTCCAATTCTAGTCCTGTAGACTTCACAAGTCCCTTTTTTTGGCATCAATTTTAGAAAAAGCTGTGCCCTGATTATTTTTTTTTTCCTTTGGCTAAGAAATGCAATTTCTTTGCTGCATCAATTGACGAAACATTATACAAAATGAATAGATAGTGATAAGATTTTATTTAGGTTTTTGTGTGTATTATTTATCAGCGTAGAATCGAGCTGGTATGTTTCTTTTCTATTTCTTTTTGATCTCACACACGCATCCATATGAGTGTGTGTAGATAATGTCAACGGCCATTTAAATTAGAGAAGAATAATTGAGGATATCTGTGATGATACGAATGGATGATCTTATTATTTCTTTATTGGTGATGGTGATGGTGGTGATGATGAGCTGGAGCTTCTTGTATTCTGAAGGGGCATGTATCTTTAAACTTATCGTAATGTATTGAACTTGCTGAGCTGTCCCTTTCACGTTGTTCCGTTGCATATGGAGTAGTCTGAGTTTGTGGTGTTGGGGCTTGTGGTCAGGTAATTGAACCAAAAAGTGAATGGAAAGCTCGTTGGCAAAGTCAGCTATCAGAGCTGAAGAGAAGAAGTAATCTGAAGGACAAGGGAGAAAATCTGTCGTGGGCAGCTCGAATGCGTCGTCAAAGAGAAGAATCGTGTAACGAGTCATAAGTAGCTGGGTTCTCTCTGTGAATATATTCATATACTTATATAGGTAGAAGCTTAGTTTCTTCTGTGTATAGTAGGAAGATGAGTTGAGGAGAGGGAGATAGAAATATATGCTGGATTCACTTCACAATAACAACAACAATAACAATCTGGTGTTGTTTCTATCTCCTTCTTACTCCTTAATCTAAAGTCCCTATGATTCGGTTGGTGTTTAAGCCGTTGCCTGCAAGAAATCTCCATGTTTACTCCCACGCAGCTCTACCTTTCTCAAGCTGATGAACCTAGTTTTCGAATTTATGGTGTTAAACGCGACATTTGTATATATTGTTCCATCAAGAGGGGCTATTCTACAACTGGAAAATTTTATTCAGTTGTCTATAAATTGATCGTGTATTAACTAGTTAGAAAAGCAGTAATTTATAGGGGGCCGTGATTGTGAAAATCAAATTAACGAATGGAAGAACTTTGTATCAACAAAATACTTTTAATAAGCGAATTAAAATTGTAGTTGTCAATTGCAATCGCCAAGACAGATGGGGCTGGCTGAATGTAAAAGGAATGCCACGAGTAGGTTAAATAATGGGCAAGTTTAAGAGTCAAAAACAGTGAACGGACGTATTGGTGGGGAGTGCGGGCATAGAGCGTGGAGGGCAAAAAGGAGCAGACGATAGGTCATGAATGAGGTGGTCTTTTCGTGTCATGAAGAGTCATTGCCTTTTCAGATTTGATTATAAAGCAACTAACATACTAATATAATTGCCACGTCGAATTTGCAATTTCTCTAGAAGCTTGGTTGGGGTGTGCTTGCCTGCTTGGGCTGGCCAATTTGCCTATTTCCATCAACTTAATGGGTTTCAAAACAAGCTGCTTTTATCACTTCTCGTGTAAGAGTATTTTTTCCTCCATTCTTATAAATCATTTTTAATATATTTTATTAAAATAAAAAAATTAAACTCATTGGCTTTTTTTAAAAAAAATAATAAATTACCAACTTTATTTTTATTAAATATTATAAATTTTAGTAATGTACTTTTTTCTTACCAACATTTAATGAGAGAAGAAAAAATTTGTAATAGAAGGTTGATAGCAAACCTTGTAAATAGGATTAAAGGAATTATATATAAATACAAGAAAAAATAATAAATAAATAAGAAAGAAATAAATTATGCGTTTATATGGAAGTTGGATAGACGGAGAAAGGCTAAGTCTGAATAATTAATGGGAGTGACGTGAAGGATGGAGATGGATGGATTGAGAATGAGTGGCTATGAATAATCACACCCATGAGGGGAGAAGCCAACACCTAAATTAGTAATTCCTTTTCTTTTGTTTTTTTTGTTTGCTTTTTCCATAATTAATGGTCCCTATTTGCCAAATGATTTCCCCCCATATTAAATTTTTACCTTCACTTCGTTTTTCAATTCAACTGTTTCTACTCAATTTACTAATTCTTATTGACTTTTGTAGTTTTACAAATGTAAAACGAATTCTCATCAGAAACAAGCTTTGGCGTGTGAATGATAATTGATTTACGATGAAAAATTCATTTTACTTTCCCATCATCAACGATCAACTACGAATACGACGAAACATTCCTTCCTACCTTGTGAATTTATGGCTTGCGTTGGATATATTCCTCTTGCCTCACGAATAATAACAGCACTAGTATTCAGAATTATTTATTATTAATATTTTCTGCATCTAGTAGGTGGTTGATCGGTTGATCCAGTTCCAACTAAGAAAAATAATGATAGTTTAATAACACATACGTCACTGCTTTGGCGTGTGAGTGCAACCCCACACACACACACACACACACTCGATGTTATGTTGAAAGAAGAGTTGATTAGGACGACAATTTAGAATTTGGGCTCCGCCAGTCTATGCCTGATTTTGACGGCATTTTTTTAGCCACTTTTCTCACTGCTCGTTTGTCTTCCACTTTCAAATTTCAGTAAAGCTAAGCAATAATCTTGCCTCTTACTCATGACTGTTTTGGAACCTTCTTATTTTTTTTAATTTAATTTAATTTGTTCTTTGAGTTTTTCTTTCAGATAAATATTGTCATGTGTGAGTGATCCAAATAAATTATCAATATTCACCATTAATTTCCTTGTCACAAGATAATGACAGCACGTCTCATGGAAGATTGCATGGGGAATCAGTTTGGTGCTCAGCACCAAAACACTGCCGTTTGGCAGTGTTTTTTTTTTTTTTTTGCTTTTTTAAACTACAAATTTATTATAATAATAAATAAATATTATAAAATTATTATTTTAATATTTAATAAACAAATAAATATTAAGATGTTAAAATTAAATATGAACAGATTAACTCATTAAAATATAATTTGAACAGTTCATATATAAATTTTGATTTGAACAGTTCAGAACTGTATTAAAAATATTAAAATTGTAAATAAAAATATTTTTTATTTTATTGATTTTGCACAGTTATTTATCTGTGAGAGATAATATCATTCAAAGCGTAATCAAATATTAAATATAAGTACTTCTCTTAATAAAAATTTAAACATTGATTTATTATAGTGTAAAAAATTAGCTCATTTTACTAGATTCAACTCTTATTTTAAATTATTTAAATTATTTTTTATTTTTTTGGTACAGTTCTCAATGCTCAGATCAAAATTTTTTATTCAAACTATTTAGGTTTAATTTTAACATCTTAATATTTATTATTTTATTAAATATTAAAATAATAATTTTATAATAATTATTTATTATTATAATAAATTTATGGTTAAAAAAAAGAAAAAAAAAACTGCCAAACGGCAGTGTTTTGGTGCTGAGACGGTGCTCATCTTAACCCAGTCCGATTGCATGGAGCGACCTGTTCACTGAAGAAAACTGCAGAGGCATGTACGTGCAAGTCCTTGACCCTAACACCAGCACAACTTTATTAATTGAACGCATCGACGCTCTTGATCATCAAGAATTTTAGCTTTTATATATCCCTCTCTAAAAATAATAGGGTCATCAACCCTCTTGTTGTGATTATGATTTAATATTCCAACGCGCTTGATCAGTTATGTCTATATATATATATATATGTAAAGGATTGTTTTTTCTTTTGGTTTGCCAACTAGGTTGTTCTACATACGTGATTAGTTGGCACTAAGTTCTAGTATGGGCTGTAGGTTAGAGCGCTGGACGTATGGTGTAAGGTCTTGTTTGAAGTTTTGTAATAAATTTATTAGGAGGAATGATTACATTAGAAGGGTTTTATTCTGAGGCCATTGGAGAGGCCGCGTCTTTCATAATCAGACGCGTAAATGATGAGTTGAATGGGTAGTTAGCAGATCGGTGCCGCTATTAATTAACCCATTAATTAATAGACTAACCGTTTTTTTTTTTTTTTTTTGCTTTTTATTATCATTATTATTTTTTTATGGCTGACAAGGCGACAACACGTAATAAATGGATATTCTTAGTCGGATATCGTATGGTGCGGAAGTGTGTTGATATAGCCAGTTATATTTCATATTTTATTTAAAGATTGTCCATCCGTTATTTTTTGATCACGAGTGATTTGTACGTACAACGTTGCTGAGCTCGTGGAAGTTCATGGATTCATTGATCGAATCACATCGGCCGTCCTCTGGACATGGTGTTTGTATGATACGAAGCTGTGGTCGGTCGGGGCGAAGCCGGGTAAGCGGGTCGGACGTGATCCACAGGCAGCACAATGGCTGAGCATTGGGGGGATAAAGGAGAGCATGTTCAGCTGCAACGAGTGGGGAGTGAGGGTGATTGAGGCCGAAGTGAAAGAAGAGCCTGCATGTGTGGCTCCACATGGAGAACTCGCCTTCGCACAAGCTGTTGGTCTCTCACCGATTTGTTGTTGGTCCTGAATTATCATTCTCGCAAGAAGTGAACTAATTGTAAATCACAAGATCACGTACCAAAGAAAATCATGCCTACCAAAGCCATTATTAACTTGTATAAGTGTAAGGCAAACATTACCCATGCATTCGTTAATGGCACGAGCTATATAGGGCCAGAAGGATCATGCTTATGGGGATTCGGTAAGATGAGCATCGCCGTGCTCAGTGAGCAAACTGAGTCATTTTATGTGTTTTTTCCCCTGTTTTTTCTCTCTAAAATCACAAAATTATTATGATAATAAATAAATATTATAAAATTATTTTTATTATATTAAAAAATAAATTTAATTTGTTGAAATTTGACTCCAACAGATCAGAGATGGAATTTGACCAAAACAGTATAGAACCACACTGAAAAGCTAGGGAAAAAAAAATTACCTAAACAGTTTAAAATAGAGATTAAATCTAGTAGAATTAGCTAACTGCTATTAACGCAACAAACAAGGTTTGAATTTCTGCTAAAAGAGTTTTCTATATTTAGTACTCAACCATATTTTGAACAAGATTGCTTCTAATAAATAGACACTTGTTCACAATCAATAAAATTTTAAAAAATATTTGATAAAATATTTTTAATTTTTTCAGTATAGTTCTCCATCGTTCAAGTCAAATGCTATATTTGAATTTTTCAGCTCAAATTTCAACTATTTAAATTTATTTATTTATTTCATATAATAATAATTTTATAATATTTATTTTTTGTTATTATAATAACTGTGGTTTTAGAAAGGAGAAAAAGCAGCCAAAAAAAAAAAAACAACACGTGAAACGATGTAGCATTGTTGTTGAGCACAGTGGTGCTACAGAAACCGAGCCCCGTGCTTATGTGTAGCAGTGTCATTCGACAGCAATCCTGGAAACCTCACATTAACAACTTTAGTTAGCTTCAGAAATATTTTGTCCCGTGTTTTAAGATCTCGTGTGTGATTCATCAAGACCAAATTTTAGGATCCCATGAGTCATCTATTCACAACTAGTTAGTGATGTTATTTAACATTTGTATGTATATATTTGATGTTTTTGATGGCTTTTTTAAGAAATAAAAGTTTTATATTACTACAGTTATTTACCAAAAAACAATATTTACTGACTTGTTCTTTCAAAACTATAAATACTTTTGTTTCAAAAAAAAAAGTGTGGAAAAAAATTCTTGCATTATAGTTTCGTTAAAAATTTGATAATAATATAAAAGAAAAAAAAAGAATTTTATCTTTTTGTTTGAATTGCAGGTGACTCGTTTCAGGTGTGGAGGAATGTCATTGGGCCTAAGATGGGCCCATGTACTTGGGGATCCGGATTCAGCTGCTGAATTTATCAAGAGTTTGGGTGACATCGTGGCTGGTTTGGGCCTCAAGTCCATCAACATTCCACGACAAGTCGTTGGCCCAAGAACCCTATCACGTTTATAAAAAAAAAAAAAGAACCCTATCACTAGATCCGATCACCCCAAAACGGGTCGATGCAGTGGCAGACCATTGGATACCCGCCACCGCCAACAACCGTAAAATAAAATGGAGCACATCCTCCTTCCAGCCAACAAGGTCCCAGATGAATTTCCTTCAAGCACAGATTTACGGTCTAACTGTTGACCTTGACCCGACCCCTCCTTTTAATTACAGCGTTGCATTGCTGAGGTCAGGCTAGGACTCGGATCTGGATCCGAACCTAAAAAGTGACTGTATGCAGAAAGACCCACGTCACCAGAACCATGATATGCTAAGTAACAAACAGTTTATAAGCGAAGTTGAAGCTGAATCTTCAAAAGTTGCCTTCGATTTGAAGAGACTGGCAATGATGCTAGATGATGAATGAGCGGATGAGAGGAAAGAGGTTGAAGTAGTAGTAAATAAGGATGATGGGGTGAGTGATTTCTTTGTGTATGGGGCAAATTTGACATTTGTGAATTTGGAAGAGGTTGATGTGTAAGGATTGGAATTGAATGGACATAAACCAGAATTTGTGCACTAAAACATTCAAGGTGTTGGAGATAAAGGAGCAGTTTTGGTGCTTCCTCGGGCAAAAGGTTTAGTCAAGAATGGTAGTGGAGGGAGTTTTGTGACCATTATATTCCCAGAGGACCAACTGGGAAAGCTCAAGTCTGAGCTCCAAAACAATGGTCTGTTGCTTTGAGGCTGATTTCAAATCAGAGTTTCTATGTTGTGAAAAACTTGGACCGTTAAAACATAAGTGTTAAGTCTTATGCATTTGTTCTTTATGATTATTGAATAAATTGTATTCACGCGCATGTAACTCAACAAACTCTCTGTATTTATCTAGTTTTCTGATTTCAACTTTAGAATAATAAGCCTAATGGTTAAGAATTTGATCACGAACAAGGATATCAGAGTTTTTGTATTGATTGATGATAAGATAATAAAGAGTTTATTGCAGATATCATTTAGGAGTAAGCGGTGGTCCACTACATACACAAGGAGTAGTTTATGCAATGCTGCTGTTCTCATGTCATCAAAGTAAAACCTGTCTCTCTCTCTCTAAAGTGAACCTGTTGCAATACCTAAACCAACTTGATACTCACATTTGATACTAGGATTGTCACAGAATTTTTAAGCCTTCCCAACTCAAGGCAGAAGCCTTAAATAAGCATATAGAATGAACCTCAAGTGCTGAATACTTTATTCTTCTTGAATGTACAAAACTGGTTCATTTAATGCTTCATTTCTCTTCCGATTTTCCTGTTTTTGAACTTCCCCTCTTTTCTCTTGCCTCCGTTCTTCTCACTCTAAACATGATACTCAGATTGTCGTAAAATCACAGTTCTCCATTCCATGCTTGGAAGGAATCTTTAATAACCGTATTGGGTGTACAAGTGCTTTAAGTGGTGCATACGCAATACTTGTTCATTAATTCACTATTGAATTGTACAGAACTTGCTTATTCATTCAATAACTTGTACAGAATCATCTTATAAGATGTTTAGAAAGGTCGAACAATGTCATGGAAGTTAACTCGCTGTGACTGTCCTCTTCTCATGTTAGCACATGACCATCTGTATAAAGTCATGCATTCTCGTTGAGAGGAAGTGATGGTTCAGGAACCGGTGAATCTTGGATACTTTCAGCATCCGACGGTTGAGATTCATGCTTTGCAGCTGCCTGCAAAACTCGGTTCTGAACATCTAATGATGAAGGCGAAGTAGGCAACCCTATGCGGTTCGTTTCTACTTTTCCAGAAATCCAAGAAACTGCTTGAGCTCCAAGTCTCACGGGTGTAAGCAACAACCTTGTGAAAAACAAAGCAACGTGACAAGCTCAAATTCGACCATTTATAAGTTTGTAATTTCAGGATCCATTCTTTGTTTTTCTTCAATAAAATTCAGTAATTTCACTTTTATTTTATAATACTGGGAGACAGAGATTGAGAACAAGATAAAACTCAGAAAATATTATTTTAAAAATGATAAGCTCCTAATCTGAGAAATCACATTTCATGCCTATTTATCATTCTATGATGTAAACTGTCACTGACTTCCATTTCTAAATATTTCTTTATTTCTACTTTTTAGGCAGAATGAATCAAGAATTTCGTCACTTTATTAAAGAATGACAAACAAGTACGTAGCCTATTATTCTAAAGAGTTGGCTTAGCTACATGAAATTTAGGATGCGAACTAGTTGCCGGGTTGTCTTAAAAACTTTTGGATCTTTCACCCACCTCGAATCATGAATTTCCTGTCTATATATTGCAACATTAGGTTAAGACAATTCAGCGTTAATCTCGCGCATCAAAGTTCCAGAGTCTCAAGTAACAATCTCTAGTTATCCAGAAATGAAATTTAATTTATAGATAACAGATTCATAACATGAGAATTGGAAAGCTCATGACAGATACTTTATGACACTGCATATATTTTTCTTCATAAGATAACATGTGAACATGATTAAAAACATTTCACCAATAAAATTGCAAAAATATATGTGTAACATGATTATATGACCAACCATGGATCGTGGAGTACACTAACCTCACATCTTGCTTAAGATCTTCAGAATCCTCATATGATGTCACCCTCCGATAGATTGTCTGGTCAATATAAAGCAATGTTTATGAGGAAAAGAGAAGTGTAAAGGCTTAGAGTCATGATACACAATTCACCCCAGCAATCATGATTGAATAAGATAAGGCCAGCAAAAATGCTATTTCCAAACAAACTTGATAGAGATTCACAAGAGGATTTCCTTCATGACATCTGCGCCAGCTCATTTCATCTACTCCAAAAAGTTTCACTATGGCCACGCATTACAAAACTACATTGAAAGAAATTAAATGAACGTCTTGCAGGGAGAATACTGCATACCAGACTGAGGCCGAAAACACCAATTAACTGCAATGACTTCTCCCACTCTGACAAAAGAGATCGTGCTTTGTCATATCAGAACAATCGAAGTAGCCTAATCTCAATTCAAGATGGTGAACAGTATTGTGATGAGCCGTTAAGTTTTCATATAAGAAGCATCTGATGCAACCTCGAGATGTGTTCAGACATATAAGAGCAAATTGAGGAAAGGACAGCAAGTAGAAAAGAATTATCCAGCAGATTAGAATTATTATCCTGAGGGTCCACCACATGAGGATTAAATCATTATGCGTTGTAAGGTGGCTATAGATTCAGTTTAGATGCTAGGATCTTCTTTTGGCTTGCCTTAATACTATGTTGATTGTTTTGGTTGGCACTCATGTCATGTTTTGAGAGTTAGACAGAAGTGAGGAGAGTGTTGGTCTCTCGAACACCAGTGAGGGATCTGTTATGTTACTTATATCTCTTTTGTTGTAATTCTTGTTTCTATTTTAGGGAATAGGGTTTTGACTAGAATCAGTGACTTTCCCTTTTGTAACATTGATTCGGTATTATGCATTAATATCAAAACCTCAAAATTTCCCTTATCTAGTCACTTCTTGCATTTAATTTTCTGTCAGAAAGTTATTATAGAGCAAAGCTTTATCAATTGGTATCAAAGCGGTGCAATCCACGGACCTCCTGAGCACGAGTTATCGCAGAGAGAGTACCTTATGCGGACCCAGAGGTATAGGAGCTGAAAGAATCTGTTGGAAGCTTGACCAGGAAAATGAACCTAATGAAAGACATGATGCAAAAGATGCAAGGGACATTGGAGCAAATAGTGGAGAAACAGAACAGTTGGGCTGAATCTAGTGGTAACAAACAACAAAGCCACAACCATGAAAAGACTACAGGGAGTAACAGAGATCATGAAAGAGGAATAGAAAGATGCCAGAAACTTGAGTTACCTATCTTTGTGGGAGAGGATCCCATTGGATAGCTCTTCAGGGTAGAGAGGTACTTCCGAATTAATGCTATCACCGACACGGAGAAGCTTGAGGCCGACCACCGTTGTCTGTCTCAAAGGGAAAGCTTTGAATTGGTATTAATGGGTAGAGATTCGAGCACCCGTTCAGAGCAGGACTAAGTTTAAGCAAGAGCTCTTATGATGATTTCATCCTTCGCAGCGTGGGGATGAGTATGAGATGATGTTTGCAGTCAAACACGAAAACTTTGTACGAGAATATGTGGAAGAATTTGAATGCATGTCAGCCATGGTTGGAGATGCGTCTGAGACATGTTGAGTGGTACCTTCAGGACAGGGTTGAAACCAGATATCAAGGCCAAATTAAAACTCACGGCTACTAGAACTCTTTGAGAGGTCATGGAGATGTCCCTTAGGATTGACGAGAGGAATCAAGTGTTGGAAAGGGCTAAAGAGACCTGTTACTTGTGAGCCCAACATCTTCAGAGTGGGCCCAAAAATGAAGCAGCCTAAAACCCCTACACTCAGGTCACTCATATGCCCAAGTCCAACAAGGGCTGATGGAAAGAAAATTAAAAAGAAATAAGTGAAGATATTACAAGGATATTGCAAATTTGAAGATCGAAAATATTTTGTTCTCATATCAATTACACATATTTTATTTTAATTTGAATTATTGTTATCTTTCAACATTATTATTATCTTTTCATTTATTGTTCTTTTTTATTCAATTTAGAATTTCTAAACTTTTTACGCATTTATTTTTAGGGTTGGGTTGAGGCTTATGAATAGCACCTCAACTCATCTGATTTGTACACATATTTGATTGAATAAGAGTTACTGTTATCTTGACTATCCTCTGAGGTTTTCTCCTCTCTATTCTTTTTACTGACCCTTTTTATCTCTTTTCTATATTCTCTTCCCCACCTTCTCCTTCCCCATTTTGCATGAAGGGCGCTCCAACAATTGCAAATTCAGGGATCCAAAAATGCGCCGATGTGAAGACGGGAGACTTGAAAATGAGTAGTAGTACGACAAATGTAGCATCGAACAGATATGGGACAAACCCAACAACTTTCTGATGCTAAAGTCATATGACGAAGAGAACTTGGATTGTGTTTCAAACGGGCTGCTAACTTTGGTCCAAATCACACTTGCAAGAACAAAAATTTGCATGTGATGATTCTGGAGTTAGAGCCAGAAAAAAAGGAGGAAAATTCAAAACAAGTGACCAAGCTCATTGAAGAAGACACCAAAATTGAAGGAGACACCAGAATGGAATTATCCTTAAATTCCATGGTGAGTTTTAGAGGCAATCATACCATAAAGGTGCACAGGAAGCTTGGAGAAACCGAAATCATACTTCCAATTGATAGTGGCGCCACCCACAACTTCATAGCAGAGGAATTGATCAGCAAGGCCAGAATTCCAGTGGAAGAAATTGCTGTTTACTTCATCACAGTGGGTGACAGGTTTAGAATTAAAGGCCGACAACACTGTAAGGACCTTAAATTAAAGGTGTAAGGTGTAGATGTTACTCAAACTTTCTACCCCTTTCTGCTTAGTGGTGTGGATGCTATCCTAAGAGTGGAATGGTTGAAGTCATTGGGTGAAGTAAAGGTTAACGGGGGACAATTGACCATGAAGATTGGGAAGAAGGAAAGCAAGGTGTGTTTGACAAGTGATCTAACCTTGACTAAGGCTCAAGACTCATTCAAATCTCTCATGAGATCTGTGCAGAAGAGAGGAGAGGGTTTCATGCTTGAGTATAATGGAATAACCTTCAAATTGACAGCAGCAGATTCTATGTGCCTCTCTCCTGAGGTTCAGAAACTACTAGACAAATTCACCATGGTTTGTCAACCTTTAGAGGGATTACCTCCCCAACATTCTAAGGATCATGCCATATTAACTAAACCAGGGGAGTAACCCCCAAATATATGTCCCTATAGATACCCTTATGCACAAAAAAATGAAATTGAGAAGATGGTGCAAGATATGTTGAAGGCAGGCATCATTCAACCTAGTAGCAGCCCTTATTCCAATCCAGTCTTACTAGTCAAAATTACGGTGCCCGATAAATTTCCCATACCAATCATTGATGAGTTATTGGATGAATTGAAGGGGGTAATCATGTTTACAAAGCTAGACTTAAAATCTAGGTATCATCAGAGCAGAATCCTGGCTGCAGATGAGCACAAGACCACTTTCAGAACTCATGAGGGTCATTATGAGTTCAAGGTAATGCCATTTGGTCTAAGCGATGCTCCTTTTACCTTCCAAGCTTTAATGAATGAGGTATTTCATGAGCAATTAGGAAAATTTATGCTTGTGTTTTTTGATGACATTCTTACATATAGTCATTATTTAACAACTCATTTGAAGCATTTAGAAGTTGTTTTGACAATTCTAAAAGAGAATCAGTTGGTGATCAATCTCAAAAAATGCACTTTTGCCCAATCGAGAATTGAGTGCCTTGGCCATGTCATATCTAAGGAGGGGATGCAGGCAGATCCAAACAAGATTGAGAGCATGGTGCAGTGGCCATGGCCCACAAATGTGAAGTCTCTAAGGGGCTTCCTAGGGTTGACAAGGCATTACAGAAGATTTGTCAAGAATTATGGAAAGATAGCCAGCCCTCTCACTGATTTACTCAAGAAGGATGTATTTAAATGGACTCCGGCATCTGAAGAAGCCTTTAACAACCTCAAGACAGCCATGACTTCCCTTCCAGTCCTTGCCATGCCCAATTTTTCTGTTCCGTTTGAGATAGAAACTGATGCTTCCGGCTCTGGAGTGGGTGCAGTGTTGATGCAAAATGGCTGACCAGTAGCTTATTACAGTCAAAAACTCTCTAATAGAGCCCAACAATGCTCTATTTATGAGAGAGAACTCATGGCAATTGTTATGGCAGCAAAAAGATGGCACCATTATTTATGGGGACAGAAATTTATCATAAGAACAGACCAAAAGGCCTTGAAATACTTGCTGGAGCAGCGACCTGTTGAAGAAAATCAGCAGCACTGGATCTCTAAATTAATGGGATTCAAGTTTGAAATCATCTACAAGCTGGGCAAGGAAAATAGAGCAGAAGATGCCCTCTCAAAGAGGGAGGAAATTCTGGAAATGCATGGATTTTCTTTATGGCAACATGATGAGATTGAAGAGTGGGAAAAAAAGTGCAAGCCAACCCTAAATTAAGTGCTGTGTTTCAACAAGTCATTACCAAACAAGGAGGTGTGGAGGGGTACAGCATTGTGAAGGGGTGTTTACAATATGAGGGCTGACTGATGCTGCCTAGGAACTCTACCAGAGTTCCTTTACTATTGAAGGAATTTCATGATTCACCGGTTGGAGGCCACTCAGGTTACTTGCGCACTTACAAAAGGCTCTCTAATGTGGCATAATGGGAAAGCATAAAGAGTGACATCCAACACTACGTATCACAATGTGATGTATGTCAAAACAAGAAATATCAAGCCTTGTCTCCAGCTGGTTTATTACAACCGTTGCCAATCCCTCAACAAGTTTGGAAGGATATTAGCATGGACTTCATCACCAGCCTTCCAAAATCCAAGCAATATGATGTCATACTCGTTGTGGTTGACAGGCTCACAAAATATGCTCATTTTTTGGCTTTAGCACACCCTTTCACAGAAAAAGATGTTGCTGAAAAGTTCATAAATGAAATTGCTAAATTACATGGTTTTCCTAAGACCATTGTGTTGGATAGAGATAGGGTGTTTGTGAGCCAATTTTGGAAGGAATTGTTCAAGCAGGCTGGAACTCAACTTTGTCTTAGTTTAGTGTATCATCCTGAGTTTGATGGCCAAACGGAAGTGTTGAATAGGAGTTTGGAGACTTATTTGCGTTGTTTTGCAAATAAGAAGCCTACTTAGCAGGTGCAATGGTTTGGCTTGGGCAAAGTATTGGTACAATACTTATCATCAAGGGGCTACAGGTATGACTCCTTTTAAGGCAATGTATGGACATGATCCTCCTGTATTCTTTAAGTTGAATGATGAACCTTCGGGCATAGAGGCTGTCAATGAACAGATACAATCCAGAAACTGCATCATAGTTATTTTAAAAGAAAACCTTGCTTTGGCACAGGAAAAAATGAAGAAACAGGTTGACAAGCATAGGCTAGATGTTCAATTGGAAGGGGATGACTTGGTTTCTGTCAAAATCAGACCATATAGGCTGAGATCGTTGGCCAAAAGGATTAATGAGAAGCTCAGTCCTCATTTCTACGGGCCTTTTAAAGTCACAAAGAAGGTTGGCAAAGTTGCATACAAGCTGGACCTCCCTCCTACTACTTGTATTCATCCAGTCTTCTACATTTCCCAGCTTAAAAAAATCAGTGTGTTCAGCACTTATGGCTCCCACTATTCCCCCAGCTCTTTCTGCAGAATTTGAGTTACAAGTGCAACCTCAAGACATCCGCAAGGTTCGAAAACTTATGTCTAGCCAATGGGAAATTTTAGTAAAGTGGAAAGACATACCAGAATTTGAAAATTCATGGGAAGAAGCTGACACCATCTCTAAACAATTTCCTGAATTTCCCCTCGAGGACAAGTTGAAGCTTTTAGGGGAGGGCAATGATGCAACCTCAGGATATGTTCAAACATATTAAGAGGAAATTAAGGAAAGGACAAGGAGTAGAAAAGAATTATCCAGCAGATCAGAATTATTATTCTGCGGGTCCAGCAAATGAGGATTAAGTCATTATGTGTTGTAGGGTGGCTATAGATTCAGTTTAGATGCTAGGATTATCTTTTGGCTTGCCTTAATATTTTGTTGATTGTTTTGGTTGGCATTCAGGATCATGTTTTGAGAGTTAGAGCGAACACCAGTGAGGGATCTGCTATGTTTCCTATATTTCTTTTGCTGTAATTCTTGTTTCTATTTTTAGGGAATAGGGTTTTAGCCAAAATCAGTGACTTGTCCTTTTGTAACACTGATTCGGTACTATGCATTGATATCAAAACCTCAAAATTTCTCTTATCCGGTCACTTCTTGCATCTAATTTTCTGTTAGAAAGTTATTATAGAGCAGACCTCTATCAGCATCATAGTTGTTCTTTTTTTTTAATACAAATTATTTTTCCTACTCTAGTGGTGCCTTGGAAGCTAGGATGCTTGGCAACAAGATATTTTAGCATTGATGCATGTTACAATAGATGATGAAAAATGGTTGATGAACAAATTTTATGATAGCAAATGTAGGATCATGTGAGTTGTTAGGCGGTGAAGTGAAAATTCCACATTTAGATGCTTTTACGTGATTATAATAGCTAGTTAGATTGTATTCCGTTAGCAGATAGTGCCACATTCACTAGAAAATTTTCTCCACATCCGCTTCAGAATTTCAAGCTTTTCTAGGAAGTCCTCTATCATTTCAATTCCTGATGCTATCCCCAGCCCCTCAAGGTATTAGGATTTCAATGGAACCCTAGATTAGAAGAATATGATATATGGAGCAGGTTTTAGACGTAAATCTAAGAATCACCATTTTTCAATTTACAGCAAATTAATAGTCTTGAGGGAGAAAAGGTACGCACCTAATAATGCATACAACCCTGCAATAACAGCCTGAATCAAAAGTAGTTGCATTTATTAGCGAGTAACAAATAACATAAAATGGAACACAATCACTTCAAAGCTAAATTGAAGAATCCTACTTGGTAATGAATAAATAGCTGAAATAATCAACAAAAATTGTAGCTGATAATCTGTTAAAATTCTATCAATTATATATTTAAGCTACACAAAGTTAATTTCTGAAACTGGCAGAGCAAACATACAAAATGACAGAACATGAGATAACAATCAAATTCTTTTCACATTTGAGTTGTTTGTTTGTTTGCTATTTGGCTAAACACCAGTTGCCCTGCAAAAAATTTGGTTCTGCTCTAGGGTTATGAAATGGAAGAGAAAATGACTACAATCAGTCATCTACATTGTAATAGCTTTAAATAAACAAAATCCAACCAAAATGACACAACAATTTAAAAAATAATAATAATAAGATTTGCTACAGGTAACATCACGCTTACCATGCCATATCCTAAAATTTGCAAAGGAGAAGGGCGAAGATCCTCTAGAATTGCTTCAGCTTCCTGTAAAACAATTAAAATATTCATTGCTCAAATACAAACTCCAAGAAAATGTAAATTGTTACCAATGAAGCAAGCTCAACAATACATGTCGCACATAAACAGGAATTTGACACCAAATTAATGCAGGAAGGTTAAAATTATTATTAACACACACAACTCCTTTTATCGTTACAGAAAATATATGCAATCTAGACAACATATTTGACTCATGTAGTAGCACCATATGCTTAACCCCATAGAACTTTCATCCCACTGTTTTGATAACGTAGATAACTAGATTTGGTATCACTGAAAGACCAGATATAAAGGAACAGTTTGATTAATACCTCATTTAGTAAGGTAAGTGTTGTCTCAGGTTTGAGTTCCTTGACACGGAGGCCTTGTTTCACCCAAGACTGAAAACCACCTTGAACCAAGTATGGATTCTGTAATATCATGCAGAGTTATCATATCACACCCCAAGATTTGGATTGATTAGATTTCAAAGGTTAAGTAATAGTACATTTTGTTTATTTGTTGAATCAAGGCCAAAAAACTACTGCTAAGAAAGCCCCATTAACACCAAGTCAGTATAGAGTCAAGGAAATGTGATGTAACCAAACTTGGTTCATAATAATATTGGTACATGACAATAATATATTTTGTATTGAGCAAGAAATGCATGCTAATTTGAGCTCAGGGCACATAGAACTTTATCATTCATATCCAACCAAATTTTCATTTGACATTTTTAGATTACAGAGACAAAGACTTGTCAGCTTGAGCATTGTAAATTAGATCTCACAAATAACCACCTATTAAATTTGCAGCCAAAGTTTACCATATTTTCACTGAAACAATTAGGTAATAAACAGCTACATATATGCATGACAAAGTTGCTGCTGAGGAGAGAATCAATGTAATAAATACTAGCAAAAATATTGAACAATAAGGTGGAGCCAAAGTGGTACATTTATCAAGAAACTGCACTTAGCAGCAAGCTTATAAACATATCAAAAAACTTGTACAATCCTGATCTTCTAGATTATCAAATTTCATGAGCGTGCCAGCTTACTCGGATTTTTGTTACTGTCCAGATTTTTCTCTTATATTCTTAACTCAGATTATCAAAATTTCATCTTACATCCATATCAACAACTTGTATAATCCCAATCCTCTTCAATCAGCTGCAATACTTTTCCACAGGGCAGTTATCTTCAACTCTAGCCTTCAAAGACAAATTCTGATTTCAATGAACTCTTTATCTAGCCCCCAAATATCACAACACAAGGGAGGTTTTTACAGAACAAAACAAAAAAAGATTTTTTTTATGCCATCTTCATTACAAGGGAACCCATATTAAAATTTTCCAAGGCAAAGATAGACTTGCCTTGACCCCAATTTTCCTCAAGGATCTTGCAACGCCTTTGGAACGACCACCATCAAAATCCAAGACTATAACCTTGGAGCTGTCCTACACGTCAGAGAAAAGAACATTCTGAGATATTATTCCACATGTCAAATCCTAGCCACATGCAATGAGTAAACAGATAGAAATCTCATCAATAGAAATTGTGATTTCTCACCATGGACTCTCATTGCAAGATGAAAAAATATAAAGGCACTTCAAAATCCCATTTAAAAATCCATGGAAGAATATAATACTTGGCTTATAAAGCGTATATACTTTCGTGTTTAATCATTGTCAGAGATTATAATTCATGGCTTTTCCCTCAATAACTTAAGCTTTTCAATTGAAGCAGACCTTGACAATTGCCAATATCGCTCTATAGTTTCATGATTTCACTTTGTAGTTCATACAAAGAAAAATAAGGAAAGAGTACTGTATCTTGTTCAGAGACACTACATACCTTTACAATCTTCAAATTTCGAATAACAACAGCAATCATGGAGTCATTAAGGTCTCTTTCACTCTTGAACAACTTCCTAACGGAACTATCAACCTGAAGATAACATAGTATGTTCAGTTAGTAGTTAGTAGACAAAGGTTACTAGGCCGAGATTGCTAAAACATCTTGATCAATAAAGCAAGGGGTTAGTGTTCTGGATTTGTTTAATGATTCAATTTAAAAAAAAAAAACAGCATGCAACAATCATCCTTGCCACCTATTCTTTACAACATAATGATGTAAACTAACCTCCAGTGGAGTTATGCTTGCATAGCGAAACCGTGCAGCCCGCCGAAGATCAGGAATACCATCTTTTTCTCTCAGATCCTGCAGAATGGAAATAACCAGCCGAAAAAAAAAACCCCAAGAAGACATTAGATCAATTATGATATCATACCAAAATAATTGGCCAAAACCTACTGAAACACAAACACAGAATTTCCTTTATAACAAGGAACATGGTTTGAATTTGTAAATGGATTAGTAGAAGAAGTAGAATGGGCATCAAGGGACATGGGTAACTTGACTTTCCTTTCATACGCTTTATAACTTTTCCAGAATCCTCAGATTATTAAGCCAGAAAATTAAAAATCACTTGCCTCATTTCGGATATCTATAAGTGAAGCATTTTCATTCCCAGACAAGAGGTCCAAAGCTGATTTAGGAGATAAATCTCCAGAGTAACCTCCATATGCCCACAACCGATAGACAGCCCTGCACATATCTGACAACTGTTTTAGATAGCCTTCTTAATAGATATCTAAGCCTCCTCTATAAACAAGCAACAAAATGAACTTTGGGAAAATACAAATTTATACCATATTGCGGCTGAAGAGCCCACAACAACAACAAATGGAACAATTGGATCATTTGGATCCAAGCCAAGACTCTTCTCCAATGAATAGACTGTTGTGAATATCTGCTGATGGGACATAAACCGTTATCCTATAATAGATGAACTGCTTGCAATAATTCTAACAAAGTAATCTCGTCTGTGAAATCAAATAGTGCATATTTAGAGCAGGGAATATGGGAGATTTCCACTGCAAGTCACCGCAAAGAAATTTGCTAAACCAGAGGAGGTGAGTGACCAGCCAGGAAGCAGAGCATTCATTTGATAGTACAAGTATGTAGTTTCAAACAACCATTAACCACACATTAAAGTGGTCAGTGAAGGTAAGACTTAGGATCAAGGAAGGCTAAGAGTTGGCAACCCTAATAAAAACTTATTAAGCCACCAAATGTTACCTCCCGAGATGCAGACCCAATCGGCCTCAATATTTGAGAAGCTTTAGATTCATACACATTTACCGCATCCCTGATTCCTACAGGAAGAAGCTCCTTGGCTGAACCATATAGGTAGACCACATGGGAAGCCACACTTACTAACGAACTCTCTACTGCTATGATTGTGCTTCGGAATACATCAATAGCAAAAGCAGGTGCTTTGCTTGTGATTCCGCTTATATCACTTGAAAAGCGAGCCAATTTCTTATTCGCTAATTCCCCTGTTTGATTGACAGAAGAAAGGGCTCCACCAAAAGCATTGTCCACAGATTTAGTAACATTATCAATGACAGATCTCATCAAAGAAGTGGCTGTATCAAGTGAGCTTTGAAAAGCATTTTCTCCCTCGCTAATTGATGCATCAAATGACTTGCTGATTCCAGAAAACATATCACCAATACTTGCTTTTGTGCTGCCTAATGATTCATTGTCCACTATAATTGATTCAGGCATAGGGGTGAGCTTCTCTGACACAATGTCAGTACTAAATAATGTTTCTGATCCTTCAGTTGACTGTTCAGTTAGGTCCATCAATCTCTCTGGGACAGATGATGTATCATAATTTTCAACATATATGAGTTCCCCACAAGTCAGTGAATGGTGTCCACTTGCTGTCACTGGTGAATAATTCCATGTGTTTGTAAATTTGCACTCAAGGTGTCCTGGTTCATTTAGAGAGGAAAATCTGCCAGGAAACTCCGCATAGACTGATTGTTCAGCACCATTAGCAATGCTACAGCAGACAGACTTTGTAGCTTGTGCAATAAATGGATTCCTCACGGAGTGGGTTCCATTTTGCAAACCCAGATGGACATCATCCATAATGCATCTACCTTCAAGATCCTTCTGCAATGGATATACAGATCCCCCATACAATGGAATCTGCATGATTTATCGTTACAAGGTTAAAAGCACTTCGCATAGGCCCTAGAAAATGATAGTCACATATCTCAATTTCACAAGTAACACCAAACTGTCAGGCTTTTTCTCTTTTTCATCCAAGAACAAATTTCTGAGCACGCAGATGAAGAATATAAAGCATTTCTAGTTTTCTACTTTATCATGGTTCAATGATCCTGAACTGATTTTACAACAAAGGGACTCCACCCCAATCAGAATACAATCCCGTCAAGCGTTTCTCTTTCTTTAACTTTTCCAACTAGCAGTTGTTACAAGTCATGTCACATTAACATTGGGTTCACAGATTCATATTTTACAATAAGGTGATGTTTCAGAAATTCAGCCATTAACATTGAATTCTTTTATTTCATTTATCAAGAAACCTGCCTATAAAATCAATTAACTTACAGAAAGAAAGCAAACAGAAATTTAGGATTCAGCGAATTAATTTTCACCTGGGAAGACAATGAGTAGCGTGGGGTGACTGAGCAAACCGGCAACATTCTCATATTGACGAATAATAAAGCTCCAAGGACATATCAAGCCGCTAATTTCTTCAGTTGAACATAACACCGGGAGATAACAAACCTTAAAACAAACAAATGGAGGCCAAATTGAAGTGATTCGAAGACAGAAGAACCAAACAAGTTGAAACTTTACTTTAAATGGCCTGTTAGACTTTAAAGTTAAGTTCTTTTCTGCTTCTCTCCGTATAATAGACAAAAATACAAAAAGTGCATGCCACTCTAAAACTTCACGATCCCTATAGCAAGCCAAAAATATCGACTGTTTCTGATTTAAATGCTCTAATCTTTCATTTTCATTTCAAATGCAGCTGCAAGTGATTGCCCATATCCCCATTTATCTAAAACCATTTCTGCACAAGTTTTTGTCACGAAAAGATGAATACCCAATAGCAATATTAACGATGGTTCTTAAATCAAAGTTAAGGTGCATCAATCTCAAAATCATATTTCGGAATTAAAATGAAAAAGAAAGCACTCACCTTGACTGGTACAGTCACCCAGATCTCTCTCTCTCCCTCTCTCTCCCGATTTTCTTTTTCTCTTTGCTTGCCAGCGAGCACAATAATCTTTTTTTTGTTTTCATTTATTTATTATTGTTATTATTATTATTTTTTTTTTTGTGGAATAATTTGGAAAGTTATCCAGAGCGAGACACGGGCTATGGTGGAACAAGCATCGCTGATCCCAATTCGTATTCTGCTTTTGTCCTTAGCCCCCAAATATCACTTTATACGAACTGCAGCCGCATAATAAAAGAAATCTCGTTCACCACTATTTTTAAATTTCATTTGGATCTTTGTGCTCCTTTTTTTTAATTACAAAGCCATAGTTAAACCGTACAAAAAATTAAGCTATAGTCATATTTAAAATTATAAAATTTCTATAATCATGCAACGGTTCATCAAAAATTATAATATTAAAAATATTATATAGAGATCAGTGAACTAAAAGATCAACACATTGATTAACTTTTTTATAAACATAATTAAAAATAATTATTTAATCTTTATACTCTTTACATTAAAATACTTAAGATATTGTTTGGTTGGGATGATGGGACCTTCTCTCCCCTCCCCTTGTTCCATCCAAACAAGAGGAGGGGTGGTTAGGTGGAGGGGAGAAATTTCCCTTCTGCTCCCCTCCAAAGCCTCCTTCTAAATTGGGGGAGAGCCCCTCTTCCCTCCCTCCCCCTCTCCTCATCTTTTCTTTCTTTAAATTAAATAGAGTCTAAATCATTTTTTTTCATATTCATAAATATAGGCAATCTATTTAAGTCAAGCCTTTACATTTTGGATTCTATTTTTACATTTTTTCCAACATGTTTTATCAAAATTAATAAAAATTTTAAAGCTTATTAATTATTATATTTTAAAATTTAATAAATCTTCACATCTACATTTAATAAGGGCAAAAAAATATTTTTAATAGTTTTTTCTAACATTTAAGAAGAGAAGAAATGTAACAATGAGTATGAAAAATAATGAAATACTCTCTCCATCTTAAATTACAGGGTATGTTTGAAGGAATTTTTTTATCTCAAAATATAAGACACTTTGAATATATTGAGATTTTATCAAATGCATTAATTTCAATATTATTCTTTCTCTTTCTATAATTAATTTATATCCCTTATCCTTTCAATATATTAAATGATGGGTATTTTTAAAAGTTTATATTTTTATTTTAGAAATATAAGAATGTTAAGTATATTTAATAAGATTTATTAATATGTGAAATTTTATTTAAAAATATTTTATAATTTAAGATGGACGGAGTACTTTCTAACTAAGATCAAAACTAATATGTCATTTATATATTCTTTAAATAGGAGGAAAAGAATACAGAGTTTTTTTTTTTGAAAAATAAATCATCTAGTTTTTATGGCTTTGATCCAATTGTAACTCATTCCCTGAACTTTAACTTATTATAACTCAGTCCTTAAAGTTTTGATTCAATTGTAAATCAATCCTTGAACTTTGCTTCTTAGAATTTAGTCCTTAAAATTTTAACCTCTAAATATTGATCCTTATATTTTAAAAAATAAAATTACAAAGATTTAAAATGTTTTAAAATTTATTACTAATATCTTAAATTACTAAATTGTTTTAATATTATACAAATACAAAAGAAAAGGTTCTTTATTGATTCAAACGCTATACCTACGAGATAGGGATAGAGAAAGAGGAAAAACTAAAGATTTCAGATAGTAATTTATTCTCATCTGATTAATCAATTCTTCAAAAGATCTATCTGAGTATCATGGAATGAATGATTTGATCAATTAATATTCAATTCTTTCTTCAACTTGCTCTGTTTTTATTTTTTCATTGAGGCTGAACCTAAACCTATGCTCGAGAGATAGCTATCTATATATTAATAGGGAATGTATGAATTCTCAAGAAGAGAGGAGCCATGGGACATTATAAATATTAAAACAATTTAGTAATTTAAGATATTAATAATAAATTTTAAAATATTTTAAATCTTTGTAATTTTATTTTTTTAAATATAGGAATTAATATTTAAAAGGATAAAACTTTAGGGACTAAATTACAAGATTTACAACCGAATTAAAATTTCAAAAATTAAGTTATAACGAGTTAAAAATTTAAAAATTAAGTTATAATAAGTTAAAATTTAAAAATTAATTTATAATTAAATTTAAACTGTAAAGATTAAATAATTTTTTTTTGTGGTAAATAAGAGAACAGAATTGACTTGAACTCACCTTTGTTGTTAAAAAAAAAAAAAAGAAACTCACCTTTATTGTTCTCGAGCAAGAGATCTTCAAAGTATCAAAAAATTGTTTCTTTGAAATTGGATCTCTTTTTTTTCCTTTTGGCCAGCTTTAGTTGGAACACAAACAATAAAGAGGGGGGGGGGGACTAAAATAAAAGTAACTAGGAGTATTCCGGTACGTAACTTTTTTTTGCTCAAAGTATTTAACTTCTTTGGTTTATACTCTATTTTTGGGCCAGGCCATAATAAATTGTTCTATATACTCTCTCCCCATATATGGTATATTTTCTGCAAGTTTATTTTGTTTCTAAGTATAAAATGTGTCATAATATTTTTAGATAATTAGACAATTTTGTTATTATCTTAAAAAAAGGAGAAAAGATATTAATTATGTGCTTTACTCATTATTACTATGATATTAATTAATATTATTAGGGATAAAATTAAAAAATTATTGTGATATAATGTGATTTTAATTAAACAACAAACTTTTATTTGTATACAAAAATTTGGTTAAAGATACACTATGTATAGGGATTAATCTTTTAGAATTCAACAGATTGTGTGCTCAAATCCTATCCTGGCAATTTTTCAATTTTCATCAATAATTATGTCGTAGATGCTGGAACAATAAATGATCAAGGATATCTAAAGCTTGCAGCTGCCCAGCCATTTTTTAAGTCTTAAACAAGCTAAGTTGTGCAGGTACATTATCTCGCGGCACTTATTACAATATTAATTGTGACATTAATTGACAACGGTAGCAAGCGTTTGTTGGGAGATTAATTCGGATGGGGAATACAAATTAAGTTGTTCATATCACATTGGTTGGATTCAGGTCTCTCGTGGTTAGGCATTTAATTGCAATTAATTAAGGTCTATCATTGACTGCTTCAACTGCCTATGAGTATATTTGATAAAAAAAAATTAATTGAGATATCTTATTAAATAAAAATAATGTATAATTCTAACGATAATAAAATGGTAATTTTCATTTTCACTCCACATTGACCAAGTAAACACAAGCAGCTGGGCACAACTTAATTATGATAGACGCGTGGCTGTGAATCAAAGAATTAATTGATGGTTGAGTAGTTGACATTGAAACTAGTCATGACAGTCATACGAAGAGATCAATGAGATCACTTCTTAGTTTTTACCTAAAACTAACCAATTTCACTATTATTGAAACTAGTATGGTGCCGTGCAATGTGTATTTTTGTAACCTAAAATACAATTATTTTAGAATATTAATTAATACAAATGAAAAAAATTTACCTAAAATAAATTGTAATATTAACTAATAAGATGAGTGTATAATTATGAAAACAAAGATTATAGAATTCATCATAAATCCATTATAAAAAAAATTCATCATGAATCTTTAAATGTCCAAAATCATGGTAGTCTTCCTTTTCATACCTTTCATCTTCTTTCTTCAACTCATCTACCAATTTTTTTCGCTTTCTTTTTTTCTGCATTCTCGTAGGGAAGCTACCATGGTTGGTTAAGTCCAACATCCCATAATTGTTGAAATATCTTCTTTATAAACCACAATATAATTTATTATTTTAATTGTGTTGATATTGTGATTTTCTATTTTTTTTCTTTATTATTTGTAGATCTATCTAATAATTAGATAGTTTGCAATGTGTTCTCACATGTCTATGAGAAATTATGATTACAAGGTAAATATAAAAATTATACGATTCCATCCTTTCTATTAAATCATGTGATGGTAGATAAATTTTTGACGTATTGTAATTTTTATGATTTATAAATATCAACAAATAAGCATATTAATATATATTGAAAACTTAATTTTCAACTCAAATATCAATGGTTCCAAATCTTGTAGTTGAGATATTACAATATCAAATATCATAAAGATCAAAACACAAATTTTATGGTTGAGTGCAAATTATATATAAATAAAAAATTTAAAATTCAGTTAATTCATTTAAAGTTTATAATTTAGATAAAAATTAAAATTAAACTTAGATCATTAAAATATTATTCAAAATTAAAAAATTTGGATCACTATGAGTAAATTATTATGAGCATACTTTTCAAAAAAAAATTTACAAATAGATGTCTAAGAGAGGAGTGGAAGAAAAATTACTTGATGTTAATTTGAGGAACTGAGGTAATGTATGTCTTCCTCTTCATCCAATTTTAATATACCTAAAGATTTGTAAAATAATTAGCAAATCATCATGCAATTTACAATAAATATTCCTAAAACTAACAAATTAATTAAATTCTATGAAACTATTACTCCACAGAAATAGAGTATAATAAGTTTTTTAAGTTATGTTGCTCATGAAAGAGAGATTTAAAATGATGGAAGAAAGTTCAATAAAAAAATTACAAAATGCATGATTATGTGCAATTACTTGGTGTCTACCATGAATATGAGATCTATCATGAATTGAATTGCTCCTTCGATGTCTACAAGCACATAACAACCACATCATGCCATTGGCTGGGAATGAAAAATTAACAAGAAAAATGATACAAGAGATGAGAGGGCATTAATGATGAAGGAAGGAGCCAGAGAGAGTGAGATTTTTGTGATTTCACTTGTTTTGATAAGGGAATGGAGCCACTAAATGATATTAGAATTGAAAAAAAAAATTGTGCATGCTTTGTAATTGTTCAATGTGATCGTGTGTTTGTGTAATTAAAATTTTAAAACTAAAAATAAGAAATTAAAATAACTGATTTTAATTTTAAATATAATATTTTTTTAATATTTAAAAAGATTTGATAGAAAATTTAATGTACATGCTAAAATTATATATCATAAGTGGTGGAGAAATTGGAAAGTTGTGATGATGGATAAGATCGTGGGAAAGAAAATTTAAGAATAAAAGGAATGATTTCTACAATTTAAA